GTCCTAATAGTGTTTATAGCAGCGTGGGACACATATATGACTGTGAACTGTTGCGTTAACGAGCAGTTTTACAGGTGTACCTAATAAAGTGGCCGGTGAGTGCATGTTAATCTGATTTGGCACAATCTACATAGTAAAAAGTACTATAGAAATAAAGATTGAATTTGTTTTCTATGTACACATTTAATCTACAACAGCTTTGTTTTCCTTATCCGGAGTGATTCAAATCTGTTTTGCCATAACAACACAATCATATTAAACGCAGAAAATTGAAAGCATGTGCAGGTGATCAGGATGTGTAAGGACGCAGGCGCTCTCCCAAACTCTCACCCATCTCCATAAATAGCTGAACATCTCTGTTCTCCATGGATACAGTGACCTCATTCGCGTCTATGAACCCATTTAGTGATGATAATGATATTTTTGATTTTGTGGATGTGTGGTAGACGCTGTCTTGCTTCTTTTAAGGGCTTTCTCCTTTCCTTCATCTCCATGGGTGAGGGTAAATTAGTCTTGTACAGAGGATCGGAAAATACCGAGCTGAGTTATGGCTATATTTAGCTGTTCTGAAGATGAAAAGTACTTTGATCTTTGAAATTCTGAGAAAAATCTTGCCGGCTCAGTTGTCTATTGTGATATAATGGATTGAAGATGTCTTATTATGTGTAGGTAATCTTATTTAGTCGCAACCAGATGATTTTTTGTTAAATGAATGATTATTTTTTAAGATTACACAAGACGATGTACAGTAAAAACACATGACAAAAATTCTGAATAAAACTAATTTCAACATGCAATAATTATTTAATAAAGCGCTGATCAATATATCAGTCAATAATTCATATTACATTATGGCAGTATCCAATTATTAAAATGATATATTACATACTCCAAATTAGCAAAACAAAGAATCCACTAAACTCTAAAATGATATGAACTTGTTACATATTTTCTGTTTATTAAATGGATAATCCAGTTACGTTATGGCCAGTAGTGGATATAATCGATCCTGCAATTATATAGAGCTGTGGCGAGAAGTGGTTTAAGAAATACATTCTGAATCAATTCTGATATTTTCCAAATGCATCATTGTTCTCTTCTGAATCAATTCTGTGCATAGTTTTGAACAGCAGAGAGTGCTCTAGCTAGGCTAGTTTTAAACAGCAGATTGCGCTCTACGCTAGTTTTGAACAACAGTTGGCTCTTTAAAAGCTAGTTTCCAACATAAGATATTGCTCTAGGCTAGTTTGGAAAATCAGATGGAGCTCTAAGCTAGTTTCAAGCAGCAAATAGTGCTCTAGGCTAGTTTTGAACAGCAGATAGCGCTCCAAGCTAGTTTTAGTCAGCAGTTAGCTCACTAGGCTAGTTTTGAACAGCAGTTGGCTCTTTAAGAGCTAGTTTCCAACATAGGATAGTGCTTTAATTAGTTTTAAACAGCAGATAGTGTCACAGTTTGGTGATCAAGAACAGGAACAAAAATGGGTGTAGAATCCAAGTGCAGATCTTTAATGTGAAAGTGCAGCAACAGTGACAAAATCCAAAAATCAAAGTAACAAATTAACAAAATAAACAAACAAACGAGCAACTCAAACAGATTAAACTTGAACTAGACTTTAACACTAAGACAAGCTACAAGAGCAAGATCAGGAACAACATACCAACAAGGACAACGACCAACTGACAAACAGAGGATAAATGACTGAATATATAGTCCAGGTAATCATGGAGAACGGAGACAGCTGTGGTAGTAAATCAGTGTAGATGACAGACCGGGTGTGTAAGCGAAAGAATGTATGGAAATGTAGTTCTAAAGCCACTGTAGTCCGCTGGGGGTTGCTGGCGAACTACAGTGGCATCTGGTGGACAAACACAGTCATGACATTACCCCCCTCTTAAGGAGCGGATTCCAGACGCTCCTAAAATAGTCCTGTGGGTTGGGGGAGAGGGGGGTGGGCGAAGCAGAGGAGGAGCAAGGGGAGGGGGGAGGGCGAAGCAGAGGAGGAGCAAGGGGAGGGATGGGGGGGCCAGATCAGGGAGGTCCGTGGTTCAGGCGCCCTGGCAGGAAGCCAGGGTGCAGCCGGGGAATCTGTCCCAAATCGTGGGAAGGACCACCAGGGAGGGGCGGGAGGGGTGACCCATGGATGATGCCGCAGGAGACACAAGGCAGGGAGCCCCAGGAGAGCCAGCTGGAGAGACAACTGGACAGGAGCCGGCGGGACTGGAGGCAGCTGGACAGGAGCCGGCGGGACTGGAGGCAGCTGGACAAGAGCCAGCGGGACTGGAGGCAGCTGGACAGGAGCCGGCGGAACTGGAGGCAGCTTGACAGGAGCCGGCGGGACTGGAGGCAGCTGGACTGGAGCCGGCGGGACTGGAGGCAGCTGGACTGGAGCCGGCAGAGCAAGGAGCCCGAGCGAGGTTGGCAGAGCAAAGATCCGGACTGGAGCCGGCAGGGCAAGGAGCCGGATTGGGGCCGGCAGGGCAAGGAGCCGGACTGGGGCCGGCAGGGCAAGGAGCCGGACTGGGGCCGGCAGGGCAAGGAGCCGGACTGGGGCCGGCAGGGCAAGATGTCTGGGAGGTGCCGGCAGGGCAAGACATCTGGATGGCGATGGTAATGCCAGGAGCCAGGCTGGGACCGGCAGGGCGAGGAGCCTGGGTGGCGCCGGCAGGGCGAGGAGCTTGAGTGGCGCCTGTAAAGCCAGGAGCCGGACTTGAACCGGCATTGAACTGCGCTCTGGGGCTGGAGCCGACACTGGCGGGCACTCTGGGGCTGGAGCCGACACTGGCGGACTTTCTGGGGCATAAGCAGTCCTCTTCCTACGACTCCTCCATCTGGTAGTTTGAGAAAGAGGAAAATCGGTGTCGTCAGGAGAGGGAGCTTGCTCTGGAGCTGGAACCGACACTGGTGGGCATTGTGGGACTGGAGCAGACACTGGGGTTTCACACAGATCCAGAAGACTCTCCAGAGGCTCTGAGAAGGGTGGTCTCCGGACAGGCCGACGCGGATAAGTCCGCAACTCCAGTCCAGCCTCTCTCCTCCTTCCCTTGGACAAATCAGCTGGCCCTGAAAATATCCCTCTCTGTTGCCCTCCACTCAGGCCTCCCTCCTGAGGGTTCTCCTCCTTCAGGGCAACAGAGAGAGGGGAGCCAGAGATCAATAAAGCTGCTTCGATGAACCGATAAAGGTTCCAGTCCTCCTCATAAGGTGGAATCTGAGAACGGACTGGTTCCAAAAGTCCTCCCCGAAAGAACATCATCAGTAGAAGGTTACTGTGAGAGCTCTTTGGGGCTAGCTCCAAAAACTCCTTAACGTAACGCTCAATTGAGCGGTTACATTGTTTAATACGCACTATCACATCATCTGCTGGATCCATTTGTGAGTTGGTCGTTCTGTCACGTTATGGTGATCAAGAACAGGAACAAAAACGGGTGTAGAATCCAAGTGCAGATCTTTAATGTGAAAGTGCAGCAACAGTGACAAAATCCAAAAATCAAAGTAACAAATTAACAAAATAAACAAACAAACGAGCAACTCAAACAGATTAAACTTGAACTAGACTTTAACACTAAGACAAGCTACAAGAGCAAGAGCAAGATCAGGAACAACATACCAACAAGGACAACGACCAACTGACAAACAGAGGATGAATGACTGAATATATAGTCCAGGTAATCATGGAGAACGGAGACAGCTGTGGTAGTAAATCAGTGTAGATGACAGACCGGGTGTGTATGCGAAAGAATGTATGGAAATGTAGTTCTAAAGCCACTGTAGTCCGCTGGGGGTTGCTGGCGACCTACAGCGGCATCTGGTGGACAAACACAGTCATGACAGATAGTGCTCCAAGCTAGTTTTGAACAGCAGTTAGCTCTCTAAGCTAATTTCAAAGTTCTAGGCTAGTTTTAAACAGCAGTTGGCTCTTTAAAAGCTAGTTTCGAACATAAGATATTGCTCTAGGCTAGTTTTGAACAGCAGATGGCGCTCTATGTTAGTTTTGAACAGTAGAGAGTGCTCTAGGCTAGTATTAAACAGCAGATGGCGCTCTAGAGTAGTTTTGAACAGCACATGATGCTTTAGGCTAGTTTTGTACAGAAGATAGAGCTCTAAGCTAGTTTTGAACAGCAGTTAGCGTTCTAGGCCAGTTTTAAACAGAAGATAACGCTCTAAGCTAGTTTTGAACAGCAGATAGCGTTCTAGGCTAGTTTTGAATAGCAGATAGTACTCAAAATTAGTTTTGAACTGAAGATGGCTCTCTAAGCTAGTTTCGAACAACAGATGGTGCTCTAGGCTAGTTTTGAATAGGAAATCACTCTCTAAGCTAGTTTTGAACTGCAGGTGGTGCTGTAAGCTAGTTTTATTCAGCAGTTGGTCCTCTAAGCTAGTTCTGAACAGCAGATGGTGCTCTAGGCTAGTTTTGAACAGCAAATGGCGCTTTAAGCTTGTTTTAAACAGCAGATGGTGCTGTAAGCTAATTTTAAACAGTAGATGGTGCTCTAGGCTAGTTTTGAACAGCAAATAGAACTTTGGGCTAGTTTTGAACAACAGATGGTGCTTCCTGCTACTTTTTAACTGAACACTTGAATGCTAACGGAGAAGAGCCATTGTGTGTTTGGCTTTGAGCCATGTACGTGGGGTTTTATGTCACAAAACTAATGTAAACAGCTCACTATAAACGCTTTTGTAATTTGCTTAAACCTTTCCAACCTTTATTAATAGCTATTTTAAGTTAAAGTGATATTTGTAAGAAATTGCGAACGGAGTACGACTGTTTGTAAAGCATGCAGTGCCATCTGCTGTTAAAAACTTTGCTCTGAATTGAGTCAAGAAAGAATAGCGTATATGCATTAAGAAAATCTGAAAATCGATTTCTCAAACAAATGTTCATATACAGTCTTCTTTAAAAAACAGTATATCAAACTAAAACTGTCAAACAAATGAAGTCAGGCATCATAGCGTTATAGCATCTTGTGTGTAACAATAATTGTGTTGTGTCACCTCACAGACAGTGTTCCTGAAGAGCTGAACGAGCCCTTCTACAAGGACCAGTATGAGCAGGAGCACCTGAAGCCTCCGGTGGCTGATCTGCTGCTGTCAGCGGAGCTCTACTGCAGAGCTGGAAGTCTGATCCTGAAGAGCGACGCTGTCAAACCTCTCCTGGGCCACGATGCGGTCATCCAGGCTCTGGCGCAGAAGGGCCTTTACGTCACCGACCAGGAGAGACTTGTGACTGAGAGAGACCTGCAGAAGAAACCTATTCAGATGGTGAGAGGACCTCTGTTTAATTCAGCTTTATTTTATTTGTATAGCGCTTTTACAATGTAGATTGTGTCAAAGCAGCTTCACATAAATGGTCATAGTAACTGGAACAGTGTGGTTCAGTAACTGGAACAGTGTGGTTCAGGTTTTAGTGTTTAAGTTCAGTTCAGTTCAGTTTAGCTCAGTTCAGTGTGATTTAATCATTACTGAGAGTTCAAACACTGAAGAGCCAATTCATCGATGCGTAGCTCTACCAATCCTGAACCATGCGAGGCAGTGGCGACAGCGGAGAGGGAAAAAAAACTTCACCTGATGGGAGTGAAGAAAAAAAACCTTGAGAGAACCAGACTCAGTTGGGCACGACCATTTTAATTTCTCCGCTGGCCAATTTACAGCATTTTATTTACACCGACTTGTGGTAAAATGTTTGTAAATGATCAGATTTTTTAGGCATCCAGTTAAAGGGATCGTTCACCCAGAAAAATAAACTTACCTCAATATTTATTTACACTCAAGTGGTTCAAAACTGTCATGAATTTCTTTCTTCTGTTGAACACAAAAGAAGATATTCTGAAGAATGTTGGGAAAAAAACATAATAGAAACAAAAAATACCGTGGAAGTCAATGGCTGTTCTTTTCAACAGTTTTCAGAATATCATCCTTTGTGTTCAACTGAAGAAAAAAGCTCAAACGATTACTAAATGATGACCGAATTTTCATTTTTGGGTGAAATATCCCTTTTAAGGCCGCTTTTAGTAATTTGTTGCGTCTGAATAATTATTACCTATTAACTATTTCAGATAAAACTGAAGAGCTGTCGTCCTAAAATGACTCATAAAAGCAGATAAACTCATAAAAGCTGATAAAAGTTTAAGCCAAAAGTCTCATCTCTCATGATATTTACTATTCATAATAATACTAATAATGACATACAAATTTTGGCTTATACCAATAAATCAATTATTACTTACTAATAAATTAAAGATATTAAAACCAATTCTATCCAAGTTTCAAATAAAATCCATCATTTTAAATCCTACACATAGACTTTGCCACAGATTTGTATTATTTTAAAAATGTAACTGCAGACAACTAAGCAAGTAATCTTTATTTCACAAAATTATTTACAACTTGTGTAACTAATCCATAATTTTTAGCTGTAGTATTCTGTATCAAGGGATCATTTAATTATTGGGGCGATAATTATAAAATAAATAAGCATTTATTTGTTGCAATATGGCAGCCACTATATCATGTATCATTACCTTATGATTTTGTTTATAACCTTTTTTTACTACATAGCTTAATTATTTTTTCAGTATTATTAACAATATTAGTAATTAAACTTTTTTTGGCTAATTCAACACATTTATTTTAGTTACTTCCCAAGTTCCAAGCTTTTCAGTTCCAAGTTTTTATCCTGGGGTCCGTTCTTCGTACCTCGCTTAAATGATCTAAGATGATCTGGCAAAACTGATCTCTATCTATTTGGTTCTTCAAACAAGTTCTTGAATCAGATTAAAATGTCTGGATAAACTGATCTGAAATCGCTGCATGATAGGACAGATCTATCAATCCTCAAAATCATGATCAACGATTAGCTGACGACACAGCAGCATAATGACATCAGCTGATTAATATTTCATTATCCATGTAAGCAAAATAACATCAAAAATCGTAGGAAACGGTATAATAATAACTGGCTGTTTAAAATGATTCTGCGTTAAAAAATCATTTTGATATCGCTAAGGTGTCTGCAACTTTTGCGAAGCATCAAATCATCATCATATTAACTGTCAAAACATGTATAAATGAATATTCCTTTAAAAAAACAGTTGAATATTGTGCATGTCTATTATCAGACAAATTGTGCTAAAGCTGGTTCGGTACCTTGAAATAGTACACGCTTGTATTTAAAATGTCCATATTAATAAATGTTCTCTTTAAAGCTTTTGGGCAAAACCAACCCCGTTATTTCAGAGTGCAGATTGCATAAGTTTTATTGATATATTTTGTAAACTACTATGAGGAATCTAAACTTTGAGGCTTGAACCAACGACCTTCTTGCTGTGAGGCCACAACACTACCTACTGCGCCACTGCATCGCCTATATATACAGTTGAAGTCAGAATTATTAGCCCCCCTTTGAATTAGTTTTTCTTTTTTAAATATTTCCTAAATGATGTTTAACAGAGCAAGGAAATTTTCACACTATGTCTAATAATATTTTTTCTTCGGGAGAAAGTCTTATTTGTTTTATTTCGGTTAGAATAAAAATTTTTAAACAATATTTTAAGGTCAACATTTTTAACCCCTTTAAGCTATATTCTTTTCCATAGTCTACAGAACAAACCATCGTTATACAATAACTTGCCTAGCCTAACCTGCCTAGTTAACCTAATTAACCTAGTTAAGCCTTTAGATGTCACTTTAAGCTGTATAGAAGTGTCTTGAAAAATATTTAGTAAAATATTATTTACTGTCATCATGTCAAAGATAAAATAAATCAGTTATTAGAGATTATTTATTAAAACTATTATGTTTAGAAATGTTTTGTAAAAATCTGCTCTCCGTTAAACAGAAATTGGGGAAAAAAATAAACAGGAGGGCTAATAATTCAGGGGACCTAATAATTCTGACTTCAACTGTATATTTAATTGGGTAATCCATACGGAGAACGAACCACTGTATTTTACTTTTGTATTTTACTAACAAAAACATAAATCATTTTTAACAGTTACAACATGAGTGATAAATGATGAAAAATATGAGAACTAGGCATGAACAATTGTGCTTACGCTAACATCGTATTACGTTAAAAGTCCCAGGATCCCACATCTCATAACTCTCTCAGTTTTATGTCCTGAATCTTGTCACATTTGTTTAACTGGAGATGTATTTCAGCCTCATAGCGTCTGCTTTAAAGATATAAAGGGTGCCGTTGTTGTGTGAGTGACTTCCTGTTGATATTTAATTACCGCTCCGCTGTTTGCTGTGCCTCTGGCTTCCTCAGCCTCGACCAAACACATATCATCGCTAACAATCTGCTCTTGCTGCGTGAAGAACAATTTTGCATAGTGCCAATAATGATATAGTTACTATATCCCATGCTCCCCATGACGAATTGATTATTTTCATTACACTAAATGATCATGTCGCGCTGCTGGTGGCTGTGTCTTTACAGTTCAGAGAAGTTTCTGCATGTAGCTGATAGTGTGCATTGATTCAGGCCTTGATCTTCACAAACCAATGAACGGTTCGTCATCTTGAACTCTGAGGCCACAAATCCTCATTAGCGTCAGAAAGCTGTCCATCTGTCTGCTCTTCCACAACAGTAAGCTGCCTCAATACCAGACCCAGAGTCTTCCAGAGCTCCACTTTAAATTAGGTCTGTGGCAGTCAGGTTTTGAGAAAATATTACAGCCTTTATTAACATAATTTAAGGGATTATTATTTTAAAAACTTTGACTAGGGCTGGGCGATATTGCAAAAAAAAAAATTATCACAATATCAGGTTTTATGTCATTCAATATAGATAGTTATTGAATATTTTTAACAATACATTTAGGAATATAAGTTTTTTATTTATTTAACCACCTTATTTTATTTATGGCAAAGCAGGGGCTCAGTGGGTAGCGCTGTCGCCTCACAGCAAGAAGGTCGCTGGGTCAGGTGGCATTTCTGTGTGGAGTTTACATGTTTTCCCTGTGTTTGCGTGGGTTTCCTCTGGGTGCTCCGGGTTCCCCCACAAGTCCAAAGACATGTGAATTGGGTAGGCAAAATTGTCCGTATCATATGAAAAAGAGTGTATGGGTGTTTCCACGTGATGGGTTGCAGCTGGAAGGGCATCTGCTGTGTAAAACGTGCTGGATAAGTTGGCGGTTCATTCCGCTGTGGCGACCGCTGATTAATAAAGGGACTAAGTTAATAAATGAATAGTTTATTATATAATAATTATAAATAAATAAATGAATTAATTTTAATTTACCAACATTACTAAGGCAAATAGTTTTATTAATCAAATACAAAAATATTTACACAAAATATCTCATCTCTTTATAATAAAATAAACATAATAAGGATACAGCAAACCTCAAACTCTGTCAATAACACAGATTATGATAATCAAATCTGAGCTTAAGCAAAGGAATCAATCGTCAATATTCAAATGTATACTGCAACATTACAAATTGTGAAGTTGGATGACTACATTACCCCCTTATGTAAAAAGATCCTTCAGATGGAGTGCAAGTGACTAGGATGCACAAGAAAAGAAACCAAAAAGCCACTCTGGCGACATGCTTAAATACTTTTTTATTTACAATCTCCTCACTGCCGCTATACAGCACTCATTTTCACGTTTGTTGTTTTTCTGACCTGAAGTGACAAGCACGTGGGTGTGATTCCTTGACCATTACAATGGGCTTTGCGCTCGCACTCCCCTGACATCTCTCATAACAAGGCGCCCATCAAGTGTTTTCTCAGAGGATAACAAATCAAATCATTGCTGCATCTTGGATACAAGTTTATGGGAAAAAGTAAAAAGCAATGCAATGTTTGGATGCTTGTTTGTCTGAGGTAATTAGTCTACCATTTTTACTGAAATGTGTATATTCCATACAAAATGTGAAGCAGAAGCAGAGTTCTACTTACATGAATCGCGCTGCACATTTTAATAAAACTATAGCAATTCATACCGAAACTACATACCAAACTTTTTATTAATTTTGACAATGGTGTTCGGTCAATAAATACAGATACTGATTTTATCGTCCAGCCCTAATTTTGATTCATCAAGGTGTGAAAAATGACTAAAAGCTGTCAAATTACAGGTTTCCTCCGGGTGCTCCGGTTTCCTTCACAATCCAAAAACAAGTATTGAATTGAAAAAGAAAGAATTGGCTGGGCCAAATTTCCGTAGTGTATGAGTGTGAATGAGTGTGTATAGAAGTTGATGGGTTGCATGCTGGATAAGTTGGATGAATGAATGTCTCATTAGTTTCATT